GGCGCAATCGCAGCGCAGCCGCACGATTTGGGGTCGTGGTCGCGGCGCGGTCGCCCGAGTTTGGGGCGCAATCGCGGCGCGGTCGCGACCCTTTTTTTTTGTAAAAACGAAATAAATATAAATTTTAAAAAATAAAATATATTTTATATAAATTTTCTATATAATATATTTTAAGAAAGAAATAATAAAAATATATTAATTAAAAATAAATAATAAAAATATATTAATTAAAAATAAATAATAAAAATATTTAAAAATAATATATATTTTATATAAATTTTCTATATAAAATATTTTAAAATTAAATAATAAAAATATTTTAATTTATATTTAATTAAAATAAAATTATATATTATATAAAAAAATATAATTTAATTTTTTCGTATTTAATATTTGTAAAATTAAATACAAGTATTTATAAAAAATATATATCTAAAATATATATAGATATATATTTATTATATATATATTTAATATATATATATATTTAATATATATTTATATAATATTTATTTTTATTGCTTTTTTTCCCTTTCTTGTGTTATTTAAAATATCTATATATATATATATTTATTTAAGAAAATATTAAGAAAAAAGAAATATATATTATTATATATATTAATTATTATAATATATTAATAATTTAAATTAATTTAGATTAATAAATTAAGTTGACTACTTTAAGTTTTTAAAATAAATAAATTAAAAAAGTTTGTTTACTAATTATTCGTTTAAAATTTTTGATTTAGACTGATGAGTATCTTGCCGATTTTACTGGTTCTGGACCCCGACACACGCACGGTCGTAATGTGAATGTTTCGGCTCGGGAGGAGAGGAACCGGATGCTCCTTCATGCTCGTACGGTACAGACTGCCCAGGCTGATAGTTCGAGACCTCCCGTTACTCCGATACAGAGTGGTCAGCAGTCGGGCCCACTACTCATGCCTGACAGTTCGAGTCATCTTGTTACTCCAATACAGAGTGGACAGCAGTCGGGCCCACTCAGGTTGGCAGTTCGGTACGCCCCACTTCGATACAGAGTGGTCAGCAGTCGGGCCCACTACTCATGTCTGGCAGTCCGAGTCATCATGTTACTCCGATACAGAGTGGACAGCAGTCGGGCCCACTCATGGTTGGCAGTTTGGTACGCCCCACTCCGATACAGAGTGGTCTGCAGTCTGGCCCACTCATGCCTGCCAATTCGGGACGCCCCACTCAGATGCAGAGTGGTCAGCAGTCTGGGCCACTCATGCCTGGCCCACTCATGCCTGCCTGTTCGGGACGCCCCACTCAGATGCAGAGTGCTAGCAGTTCTGGACGTGTCCCGATTATACGTATTGTTCATCGGCGGGACTCCACTTACGAGTCGGCAGTCAGGAGTCCGCAGGATGATGATGATGATGATGATAATGATGATGATGATGATGGTGATGATGATGATGATGATGATGATGATGATGATGTTTATGATGATGACGATGACGATGAGCAGGCCTATGAGTTCGACTTTGATGCAGCTGAGCAGCCACAGCCACAGCCACATCCCCAGCCCCGGCCACAGCCACAAGCACGTCCAGGTAAACGACTTTCCCGAGTGGATCCTCCACGACAGGCTGGGGGTCGTTATGCGGGCGCAACCTCATCATCAGGTAAATGATTTATGTATTTATTGTTGTTTATAGCACTATCAAACGGGCCAGTGGCCCGCGGGCTGGCCCGCCCGCCCGCTAAAACGGACGGGCTTGGGCCTTTGCTTGGCCAGCCCGTTCAATCGCGGGCCTATTTGGCCCGCCCCGTTTGGCCCGCGAACTGGGCGGGCTGGCCCGTTTTTTTTTTTTTTAAATTATTTAAATGTAGTATTTTTTTATTTTACTTCTAATTTCTAACTTGCACATGAAATATTTTTTTTACATAATAAAAATATTAATAAATCAAATAATATTTTATGTCAATTAAGTCGTTCTTGCGCGTGAATACCCTATAACTATTGATAAAAAAAATAAAAATAAAAACTAGATGACAAATATTTAACATCATTACACATGAAACCTTACTAGTTTATTAATATACTAGTAAATAGAAGAATAAACAAACCAAAATATATATAAGAGTGCAAATACCATAAAAAAAGAAAAAAATAAACAAAACCCGCGGGCGGGCCAATTTGGCCCGCGGGCTAATGCGGGCGGGCCACGGGCTATGTATTTTTCAGCCCGTAGAAATGCGCGCCATTTTGGCCCGCCCCGTTTGGACCGCGGGCCAACGCGGGCCGGAGCGGGCCGGGCCGGACCGGCCCGTTTGACAGTGCTAGTTGTTTACAATCGCTAAATAATATAAAAATATAATATTAATTTTAGAATAAATAACTTCAGGAAAAAAAAAGTTTATAATATTTTTTTATGTTTATGTGACTTTCATATATAATTTAGTTTAAACTATAGTTATTTGTTTTAATAATAACTATTATATGATATAATAAAAACTGTAATTATTACTTCGTTAATAGTTTAGCATTAATTAGATATGGTCGATTAATAATAATAATAATAATAATAATAATAATAATAATAATAATAATAATAATAATAATAATAATAATAATAAAGTTTGTAACGAGTTTGGAGGGAAATCGAAATGAAGTTTTATTAAATGTTATATTAAATGCTGTTAGGCAACAATTATATATATATATAAATTTTATTTAATAATAGTGCATTATTGATACAGTCAATCACAATATGTTGTATATATACTAATTGTTCTTTTTTAATACAGAGGCGAGCAACAAACGCACTAAGTGCGACGACTGGCTTGTTAAAGCCCCAGTACCCGGTGGCCCCGTCGACGGGAGTGTTATCCCTAGTTTTCTAGGGCACGTAGCCTCCCGGATTTGGACTGGACAGCTCAGAGGCACGTTGAAGTGCCAAAACAGGATGTCGGCCAACGGAGTTTTGAGGGAGTGGCTCGCAGGGATGGATGACAGTGCTCGAGATCTGATCCGTCCGACCGGGCTGATACATCTGGCGTCCAGCATGCACGAGCACGTCGACACTCCACTTATTTCAGCATTTGTGGAGCGATGGCAGTCGGATACTAACTCGTTTCACCTCCCTTTTGGTGAAATG